GCACGGTCGCTCGAGGACGATGTGATGGACGAGATTTGGCAGGACTGCACCATCTTCCTCAAGGACCTGCTGGGCAACCCGTTCCCGCACCGGCAGTCTCTGCCGTGTCTCCTCGAATTTGCGGCCATTCTCGGCGAAAAGGTGGACAACACCAACTTTGGCGAACAGCGCAAGATGCGGCGCGAACTGGGGGTGAGTTGTCTTTGAATGCTTCTTTTAAGTTCGAGATCTACCGTACCATATACTGACATAACAGGACATGTTCCTCCGCCTGCTGACTGCACTATTTACGACGCGCCCCATCACATTCCCCGATGGAGCGGCGTCCGGTCCTCAGCTTGACCGCGGGACAGCTTCTGTTGAGGCCGGCGGCACTAGCAAGGTGTCGGGCCACGCACAACCGTCGCCCCCGTCCGTACTCGTGACAGCGGATTACGGTAGCCCGTCTGAGCGTGCGGACGACGTTGTGGGCATCCTGTCATCGATTGTGCCGAACCTGCCTAAAATTCTGATGGAGAACGACCGCGTGCAGTCGGCGGCGACGACCATCTCAAGCAGTGTCATCGTCCCGACCATCCGCGCCAAGTCGTTCCCTGAGACCATGTCCCGGACAACGCTGGTGCTGCTGCAAGAGCTGTCGCGGCTGCCCAACAACCAAAAGGGCTGGAAAAAGGACGTGTCGGACGCGTTCAACGACGCGCGCTTCTTTGCGACCAGCCTGCCGCTCGTGCGCAGCGACTGGCTGACGCTGCTGCGGCAATGGTCCGTCAACGACAAGGAGCGCATGCCGGAGCTTCTCAGCCGGCTCACGGCGCCAACGACGGCGGGTATCGTGTTCGGCGTCGGCGCCACGTCGGCACGTCTCGAGGCTGACCGGCGCACGCAGCTGACGCTGCGGCGCGTGGCGCTGCTGATTCTCGCGGGGGCGGCGGATGCGTTCGTGTCCGACCTGCCGACCATTACAGAGAAGCTGGTGGAGCTGCTGGGCGCGTCGGCCACGTCGTCGCCGTCGTCGACGACGCGCGCAGAGGTGTACCTTGTGCTGCGGGCGCTGGTGCTGCGGACGAGTGCCGTGCACCTAGCGGGGCTGTGGCCGCTGGTGGATTCGGAGCTGCACGCGGCGATTGCGTCGATTGTGGCGCCGGACAACAGCACGGCCGCCGACACATACAACAATGCGTCGCTGCTGCAGGCGTGCAAGCTGCTGGATCTGCTGGTGTGCGTGGCGCCCGACGACTTCCAGCTGCGCGAGTGGCTCTTTGTGACGGACACGATTGATGCCGTGTACCGGTCGGCAATGTACCAGCCAGTGGCACTGGCAGACGAGCTGTCCGAGGAACTGGGCTCGGCGATGATGTTTAGCCACCACATCAACTCGGGCGTGGGTCTCGAGTCGGCGACGGCGCTGGCCACGAACAACACGCTGAAGCGGCCACTTTTGGGCGCGGCCGCGGCAGGCGGCCTCAGCGACGAGGTCAGCCTCGAGCGCAAAGACGAGCTGGTGTCCAAGGTGTTGCGGCCGTTCTTCAGCCAACTGAGCATCTACGCGTTCGAGTCGACGTACACAATGGCACCTTTGGACACGGAGGGGTGCGTGGACGGAGTGCTCAAGGACCTGTTTGACGAGCGGCCCATTGTTAAGGCGTTGTAATGTAAGACCAAAAAAGGGAACTCGTAATTGGGTATATATGCAGGTATGATATAAATGACGAAAAAGGGCAATATAACCAAAATTCACGCAAAAATTACGCAACCGAAGTATGCAAGGACGCTCACTCCAACAGCTTCTTCTCCTGTGTCTGGACCAGACGCCGCAGCGCCTCCTCATCGGCTGGGTAGTAGGCCACAAGGGCCTTGCTGAAGCCATGCATGCAATACTGGACAACGTCGAGCTTGGGCTCGGGAGGCGGGTTCTCGCCATCCGCAGGTCCATCTCCCTTCACGTCTGCGGCCTTCCTTTTTGGAAACACGTCCGCCAGCTGCTGCAGATCACTTGTCCGGGGCAGGTAGAGCGCATGTGGTAAGGGGTAGCAGGCGTCGTGCAGCGCCTGGAGGTTGTAGGGTTCCATGGTCGAGAGGTCGAACACGGCCTGGGATGTGTAGCTGACACCGCCCCACGGGGGCGATGCAAAGAGGACGGTGTTGTGGGGGTCAAGGGACTCAACTGCACCATCTATGGGTATGTCGATGTCGACGTCGGTGAGGGCGGTGGTGTCTCCGATGCGGTCGCCGGCCATCCGTCCTCCCAACAGCTCCTTCAACACTTCAAAACAGTCACCGAGCACCCACGTAATGACGCCCTCAGCCACGCCCGAAATACGGGCATTCTCCTGAGCACAGGCCAGCGTATCTGCGTCGCGCTCGATGCTGATGATGCGGTCAAAGTAGCCCCAGAGCGCAAAGGCAATGGTGTTGCCGCCGGCGCCCGCAAACATGTCGACGATGGTTGTGGCGGGCGCGGCTGCACCGTAGTCTGTTCCTCGAAAAGAGTCGTCGGGAAAGACGGGCAGCGGCATATCCTCGGCAATCTTGCGCGCCACGGGCTCCGGCGTGACACCGAACCAGGCGTCGTCGGTCAGGAAGATGCCATCGTTGTAGTTGGGGAAGATCTTGAAGCGGTTCTTCCAGTATTTGTGAATATCCCAGGGGACGTCTTCGAGGCGGGTGTAGTGGTGGCAGTTGTCCGTGATGGGCAGGTCTGGAGCAACCTGGACCATGGCCGCCGTTTCCCGTGTGCTCATAGGCAGAGAAAAGTTTGATGCAAAAAGGGAACAAAATAAAACGGATGAGATTGAGACGAGGCTGGCTTAAAGTGAGATTATATCTAGTAACATGTGAGAGCGGAATGTTGAATGCGATCGCTAAAAGACGCCAAACATGGCCAAGCACAATTGCAATAAATTCCGTCTGTCCACGCTACCTCAGGCGAAGAAGTGCAAGCCGTGGCATTGTGTGATGTGGATGTTGATGTGACGTTGGCTGTCGATGCTTCCTAGATTGAGATTTTTCGCGAGGCTAGGCGGCCTCGTAGCGCCTTCCAACATTAGGGTGCGTGGCTCCACTTTATTCCCCAATACAGCAGGCCAGCTCTTGAGCAATGCGGAACGCTGATTCGCCAGCGAGTAAGCAATAAGTAGAAGGACGGAGGGAAGCAGCAAGCTGTCCAATGCAGCCGCGACGTCAGCTACAACAACAGCATCTGAAGAGTAAGACCAAAGTACCAGCAAACAACACTCAGCACCCAATACGCAAAACGCACACGCAAACGCAAACGCAAACGCAAACGAAAAGAAACCCACAATCCAACGCCAACCACCCTTTGACGCCCTCTCCACCACACAGACAAACGCAAGACACCACGGCCGCAAACAAAACACAGGGACAGCATGTTCAATGCACTCAACCGCTTCATCTCGCGGCTGGACGGTGACGGGCCGGCCGCGGACAAGGAGGCCACGCACGGCACGTTTGGCTTCCAGGTGCTGCGCAACACCAACCTGAAGCTCACAATCGAGCCCTGGTTCGACTTCATCGTGGGCATCAACGGCCGCATGATTGACGACTCGGACCCGATGCTGTTTGCGCAGGAGGTGCGCAACTGCGCGGGCGGCACCGTGACGCTGGGCCTCTGGAGCGCCAAGGGCCAGCGCACGCGGACGATGCACGTCCCCGTGCCCTACGACACGGCGTCGTTGGGACTGTCGCTGCAGTGGACGCCGCTGGCCGTCGTGTCCAACATCTGGCACGTCCTGGACGTGCCCGCGCGGTCGCCCGCCGAGGCGGCTGGTCTGCTGCCCTACAGCGACTACATCCTGGGGACGCCCGAGGGCGTGCTGCACGGCGAGAGCGGGCTGAGCGAGCTGGTGGAGGACCACATTGGACGACCGCTGCGGCTGTGGGTGTACAACAACGAGTACGACGTGACGCGCGAGGTATCGATCCAGCCGAGCCGCGACTGGGGCGGCGACGGCGCGCTGGGGTGCGTGCTGGGCTATGGGGCGCTGCACCGGCTGCCGGCGCCCCTGAGCGAGCCCGTGTCGGGGCCGGGCGAGACCATGTTTGACGGCGACAACGAGAAGCACCAGTACCACCTGCATGCAGGAGCACCCAGCGGAGCGGTGGCGGCAGGCGACTTGTTCGAGCAGGCGGCGACGACACCGACGGCGGCGACCTTTGCCGGAGCCGAAGCACCAGCAAGCAGCGCGAACGGAGGACCACCACCGGCGGCCGACAACTTTTTGGTCCCGGCACAGCTCGTGTCACCCCCGCCGCCACCACCACTTGCTGGCAGTGCAGGGGCAGGGGGCAGTGCGCCGGGCGGAACAGCAACCCGCTCGAAGAAGAAAGACCGGCATCTCAACACGGGCGGCAACGCAGCAGGCCTGTCTGTGGACGACTACTTCAAGGAGGAGGAGGCGAAGAGCCAGCAGCTGGATGGTGCGCCGAGCCGGTCCATTACGCCCGTGGCGCCGCCGCCCAAGGGTGGTCCGCCACGAGCTGGCACGCCCAAGGAGGTAGCAACGGACGAGAGCTAGGGAGCTGGAGTGGGATTGGTACCTTGAACGCCGAGGAACGGAGTACAGCAGGTTATGAGTGTGTACGACTATCTTATATCACGGATGGGATCTAAATACAATACTAGAAAGATACGGCAAGGAAACAGACACGTGCGAAACACAAGGTAATCAAGTGACAAGTACTGTCGACGCAAGGAAACAGACATTCGTTATGAAGGTTGACAAAGTACGAAAACACAAACGCACGAGCACAAGGAATAAATACAAAAAGAGAAGACGCCAGTTTTTTGCAGCACCGCTGTTGGGTGACTTTTCATTTGAAGCACACTCGCATCCACAAAAACCTCGCCTGACTACGCCCTCCCCTTCTCTCTCTCTCCCGCTCTCTCGCGGCTCCTGACCCATTTCTGCAGCGCATCTTGTTGTATCTGCCGTCCGGCCTTGCCCTGTTTCTTGCCGCTCATCGGCCCCACACCGCTTGCCTTAGTTGATAAAGTTGACGCAGAAGAAGTGCAGTATCAGGCTGCACACGACATAGTCGGCAAACGCTCTCTCGGGCGAGACGGCGGGGAAGTCGGACTTGTTGGCCTCCGTCGTCTGGATGCGGAGGGATGCTAGACAGGGAGTTGTTAGTACGTGTTTGTAGAGTCGCTTGCACCGTGTTTTAGAGTATGTAAGCAGAGAGGCAAACGTACCCGTCAGGACAAACTGGCCGACGGTCGACGAGAAACCGGAGAGGAAGGCGTTGAATGGCTGCATTTGTTAGCTGTGTCTCCGAACCGTGCATTGACACGACGTCCCAGCTCCTTGGGCCCTTCACATACGTAGTTGCCGGCCAAGACGCAGTAGACAAACTGCAGTACGCCGACGGCGACCAAAAAGGCCATAAAGGCGTCCAGCAGCTTTGTCCGCTGGGGCGTCGCCTTTTGGTAGTGCGACAGCAGGTTGTCGACGACGTTCTGCAGGGCATTGCCAGAGCCGGAGGAGGAGGAGGACGAGCTCGAGGCCGCGGGCTTGGCCGCTGGGACGGCAACAGGTGTCGTCGTCGTCGATGTCGTCGGGACAGAGGTCGACGAACCGGTCGCCGCCGCCGAGGGTGTCGCGCTGCGCCTAGCCATTGTGAGACTGTGGGCGACGGAGTGCTGTAGCGCAATTGGATTTCGAGTATTGCGATGGGCGCGGTCTAGATGTTGTTGTCAATGTGTCGTCGAAATCGTCAATGTGTCAAGGTGTCGAGACGACGTCCAATCCCGGCCAAGGCCACGAAGCTGGAAGCTCCCTTTCAGCAACAGCACGCGTACACCCACCTGTGGCGCTAGCACAAGGCCTGGTTAGAGGACAGGACACGCAGCCTTCTTGGGTTTGTGGGGGGTGAGAGCGCCGCTCGTAGCGTCACGTGAATTGTGGGTCATTGTGAAGACGTCTGGCTTTGACTTTTAAAAGTGAGTGAAAATGAGCCTGGAATATCATGAGAGTGAGTCGGTGGAGAGAGTCGATGGAGAAAGTTATAGAGAAAGTCATAGAGAAAGTGAATGATACTGACAATTGAAACTCATACAAAATACGATTAAATAAGAGAGAATGAATTGAAAATAGAAAACCCTTTTGAGAGACAAACTGATGAAATAAACACATCGTGAGACTGGCAACAAAAGCATGCTTCATGGTCGTTTGCTTCTCTCACTGTTGGCTTCCCTTGACCTTCACTCATCACACAAAGTTAACTTCCTTCACTAATAATGCGTCTCAGTGACGTTGGGCCTGAAGCTGTCGTTTGTCAAGTCGTTACTTTCACACCCAACGGCCACGTTGGACATCAGCCTCATTGCCTTGTTTGCATCCCCTGCCTTGATCGCCCTTTTACCCGCTAAATTATGCCAACGGGATGAATAGAATTCGCCAATGCTCGCCAAAGCCTGGCGAGGTGGTCAAAGCGGACAATTGTTGGAAAGTGGTGCGTTGAACGAACTGCTGAAGTGTTTTGATGTCCCTGTTTTGTGTTTCTGCTCGGCGAGACATGTCCAAGGAAGCAACATGAAGTGTTGTTTCTCGACATGGCCGTGCAAGAAATAAATGAACACTAGTCCTTGAATTTCGGGTAAACAACAGAAGAACTCGACAAGGAAAGAAACACCAGGGCGACTGCATGGCCAACAAAGACGATGCATCATTCACACAAAGTACCGATGCTTCCATCTTCGCTCGCCTCACGCGCCCGGATCGCTTGGTCCTCTCCCTGCATGTACAAAGGGGGGATGAAGCAAACACCTTGCAAAGCCCAGCCTATGTATGCGAAAGCCATTGCCCGTTGCCTTTCCGGTGCAGAACTGCGTCGTCCGCCACGGAGATGTTTGGGCTCGGTTGTCTGACGGCTGTGCAGTTATTGTATTATAATTGCAGCGCACAAGCGGAGCACGGGGTACGAAAGTACTTCCAGTGGCCTTCTCATTTCCTTGTCCGGTTTTGCTCACCATGGTCTCGCATTGATGGACAAATTTGCGTCCAGGTGAACAGGTGAATGTATATTTCCATTGTCCTCGCCGTGTAATTACTGGCTAATTTAAATTTCGACGAGCCGCCATCGTGTGTCCCAACATGCACTGGTGAACAACAAAGGGCCAAAATTGGACGAGGCCAAGGACCGGAAGGGCCACCCGCCCGCAAAAGTGAATTGTGCTATCTGTACTCCGCACACGCAAGATTCCAGCGTTCTGTGAATATGCATGTCCGATGTCGATTGCCCGCGCCACCAAAAAGAGCCCAAGGCGGTAGCAGGTACGATTTACTGAATAGGTAATTACAGAATACAGTGGCGTGTGTTGCCACTGTGGGCCGACAGGGCAACGAACGTGTGTGGCTTGGGGCCAAGAGTGGCGTCGGACCCGCCTTGCAGCGCTTGTCCTCTGGGACGGGACGGAGCCTATATCGAAAAAGTCAATAACAATCCAAGAATCCAAGAATCCAAGAATCCAAGAATCAAATAAATCCAGCAATCAAAATAGTCCAAGAATACAAAACTCACGTCGTCTACAGAACAAAACGCCAAGCGATAGTGCTCCGTGATATGCCCATGTCGATCTTGGCCCTGTGCTCGTTCGTTCTCGTCCTTTGTCACTCGTCCTTTGTATATTTCCACCGTATCCTCTGCCTCCTACATTCCAGTGCCTTTTGTGCCTTTTGTGCCTCTCGTACCTTTTTCTCTCTCCTTTGTTTGTGCCCGACCCAATTAGAGTCGGTCTTATTTCGGATGGCTCGTCGAAAGTCCTGCCCGGGCAATGACCCGACTCCAAGGCCAGACAAGCTCGGCTTCCACGCGCGTCGATGCAGGTACATCGAGTTGCCACGCCCTTGGCCCCTTGGCTTGCCCTAATCTGCCGCCCCCCGCACCAAGACAACCAATCTAATCGCAATCTGCGTCGGTCTGCCACGGGGCTTCGGAGCTGTCGTCGTTGGTGCTCGCCTTGTTTGTTCATCTAATTTCTAGTGACAGACCGTTGCCTTGAAACACCCCAGAGGACGCCTACAGAGACACCCAAAGAGGCACCTCGCCTACCAGAGAGACCCAGACGGACTGCCGTCATGCACGTCGTCACTGACAAGCGTCTTGTCTTTCGTGTCTTGTTGTGTCTTTTGGCTGTGAACGTACCGGCCGCCATAGAGTGCCCATTGATGTCGTCCCGCTCACACTGCTGCTGTCTTTAATCTATTTCGTCAGGCCTCCTTGGGCTGTCTCTGGGCGTCTCTCATGCCGCTGGTCTTGGTCTGCGTGCCATCTTTGTGCTGCCGTGTCCACGTCTCCGTCCCGTATCTCTTTGCGCCCGGTCTGTTTGTCCCCATCTGTTGTTTGTTTGTGCCTGCACGACCTCGTCACTGGCACGCCAATTTTCACTCAAGCTCGTATTCTCGTCGCCACAACCAACCGGTACTCTTTGTCCCCTCTCTCAGACGTTCTATTTCGTACCCATTCCGTAGACTCTTTTGTCACACCACGCCCCGAGGTCTCAACTATAAGACAGCGCTGCGTCCTCCTGCCGTGCTGCCACTCCTTCTCGTCTCTTATCCTGCAGCTCTCACACGTTCTCGCCCACTCTCTCCCAGATTCACCTCCCCGTACCACTTCACGCCGTCCTACCACCCTTTTCCCAAAATGCGTGTCTCGACTCTTCTCGTGGCCTCGGCGGCCAGCGTCATGGCCCAGGATGCTTCTGGCCCTCACACTGGTGTATGTAGATGTGCTGTCCTCGACCCAACATATTGTTAGTCTGTCCATTGCCGTCCACTAACAGCCATCCCTCCCTCCACAGTCCCGCGGAAACGCAACTGTTACAAACAACAACCCCTCGAATGTCACGTACATTGCCACCCTGCCGAGCTCCGCCTTTGCTGCCGGCGCTTTCCCAGACGGTGGCAACTTCGTGGGCAGCGTATCGGCGGAAGCCGGCCCCGGCGGCGTCGGCGTCACCTACCACGTGAACATTTCCCACCTGCCCAGCACAGGTGGACCCTTCATGTACCACGTCCACACCCATCCTGTCCCGCCCAACGGCAATTGCTCCGGCACTCTTGGCCACCTCGACCCCTTCGACCGCAAAGACCAGCCGCCCTGCGACCCCAACCTCAAGGAGACCTGCCAGGTCGGCGACTTGAGCGGCAAGTACGGCAACATCTCGTTGGATCCCTACACCGCCACCTACCACGACCTGTACTCGTCGTTGGATTCCAGCAGCGAGTCGTTCATTGGCAACCGCAGCATTGTGTTGCACTTTGCCAACACCACGCGCATTACCTGTGCCAACTTCACCGTGGCGGAGGCTACGCTGACCCCGGCCAACCGCACAACGCCCGCACCGACCGGCACCCGCACCGGCTCTGGTGCTGGCTCGCCCTCTAACGAGCCATCGTCGCGTGTGACCGTGTCGGCTGCTAGCGGCCATTCCGCTGGCGCGGCTGCTCTGGGTGTCGGTGCTCTCGGCGTGTTGGCTGCCATCGTCCTAGCTCTTTAAGTTGGTTAGATGACCGTGATGGGAGGCGTAGGCATAGTAATGAGGAGGAACCGGGTCTTGCTCACCTTTTTTATTGCGCTCCTTGTTTGATTTTGGCAACGCCAGTTTGGGACTGTTTTAGAAGAGCAAGGAACTCGTTGAACCTGGACAGGCAACAAAGAAGATAATATCGACATAATTTCAGACAAAGTTTAATCGAACAATAATCAACAAATACGAAATCAGGAAGCAGCAAAATATGAAAAGTGAAGATGAGCTGTGTTGCAGCAAAGCAAAATTGGACCGGGAAGTGAACAATATTAGCTGAAAAGAGGAATATGTAAATGCAGCTGTTGGAAAACCAAAGACCAAAAACTATTGGAACAAAATATAGACAGTAAAATATAAACAGGTTTTTTTGTTAGTTTCCAGCTTGCTCCAGGTTTGTCGCCTTGAAGAGTCTCGCATGTCTTCCAAATCTAGTCCCGCCCAATAACATAAGGTCCAAAAAGAAAAGAAAGAGGGCTCGAAAAAGAGAAGAGAAAAGCTATACAACAAAATAAATAAAGAATAACAAAAAACAAGTACAAGAAACAGAATAAAATAACAAAATTTGAAAATAGAACAGAAAACGAAACACAAAACGTCCGAAATGCAAAATAAGTCAAGATGAAGACAGGTCAACCAAATAATGTCAAAAAATAACCGTAAATCCCGGATTTAAATCTCATAGCGCCATGCCATCTTCAGGCCCCGTTTCTCTCGGCTTTTGTTGGTGTTTTGTCTCTTCTTGTTGAGTCCCATGAATCCCATGCTATCCCAGTCTAAATGCGGTTGTCGAGTTTGTTCATCGATACAGTGGGTCGTCCCTCTTTCTTGAGTGCACCGGCCGTATTATCGCTTTTTTTGTTGTCCGCCCTTTCCGTCTGAGATGCGAGATGAGAGTTTCCTAAATATGCCGCCTACTCCAGTTCTCGTGGTCTGTCCCGCCGTTTTATTTTTGGTGTATCCCGTAGTCTTTTTTTCCCGTCCGTTCTCCATGAATGCTGTGCATCGATGCATTTGATTTTGCGCTCGGTGCCCGATTTCCAATAATTGTTTAGCGTAGTTCTTTTTTAAGTCCAAGGTTGCCCTTTATTTATTGTTGAACCACACCAACGGCCGAGATCTGGGGGATCCTCCATGCGGGGTGGATTTGCTTGCCGTCCCGTCCTGCAGCCCCTTTTCGAAGTTTGGTCGTTGGTCAACTGGCATCTCGCTGTTTCTCCCTGTCCCATTCCATTCGCCGCCGTGCCGTATCGTTCATTGTAATAATCATTTACCGCCCAGTATAGTACATGCTTGTTGCAGCATGACCCTCGCTTGCTGGTGTTCCGCTGTGGTCGCCCCAGCCGACGTACGCATCCGAGCCGTCTTTGCTGTATGAATAGGGCTGTTGCCAGTTGGCGTAGGCGGTCGTGCCCACGGCACCGGCTGAGAGTGACACGTGGTGGTCCAGGGTTGTTCCTGGAATGCTGTCGACACCCGGAATGGTCGTGGGTGATTGGTACAAGTCGGACATCGCAGCGGCCGCAGCGGCGGCACTGGACTTGCGATCGTAAGACGAGGATGAGGAGCGGTGGCCGCCATTGCTGCTGTGAGAGTGGTGTCCGCTGGTCATTTGCGAGATGGACGGGTAGGACTGTTGCTGGTGCTGGCCGTGGTGGCTGCCCATAGTGTCCGAACCAAAGGACAGTGAGCGTGGCGGTGGTGGAGGGTACGACCAGCCGAGGTCATCGCCGCCGCGTCCCGTGGCATCAGATGTCCAGGTGGCCGAAGGCGGTGCGGCGTGGGTGGTGTATGGCGAAAAGGCCGGTGTGATGGGCGATTCCTGAGGATAAGATCGCCATGAAGCGTTGAGGTCGCCTGGTTTCGACGAGCTGGGACTGGCATCTGCAGACATCCAGTTTGTCATGCCGCCATGGGAGTAATCAAAAGACTGCCTTCCAGACACTGAGTCTGTTAGTACCGCGTCACTACCTCGACTTCATTTTTTTTTCTTTTTTCATGTTCATTTTTCACTTTTCTGTTCTTCATTTTCAACTTGTTTGACACTTGTTGACCTGGTACTTACGTTTCGGGTCAGGTGAAAACGGCTCCCCACCGGACGGCTTCATGGACGGGGGTGCCATAGTCTGGATCGAAGGCATGGTCAGCGGTTGAGTGTTCTGCTGCGGTCGGCCGCGAGGGTCGGGGTTCGGGAGGTTTGCCAGCGAAGGCAGTGGTAGTTGTGTAGGTGCGGGCATGAGTGGTGCAGAGCCTGAAGCGGATGCGGCTGATGCTGCTGCTGATGAAAGATGGTGATGGTGGTGGCCTACCGAAGAGCGTGACGTGGAGTTTTTGCGGGTGTCTGGTGGCGGCTGCTGGTCGACTGGGTAGAAGCTGCATTCTTTCTTGAGACGGATGCAGTTGACACAGCGGCCTTGGATGTCGGCGGGTGAGGGAATGCACCGTATCTTGCGGCGCCGGCAGTGGCCTAGCTGGTTAGTTCCTTTCCTCCCCGCGTACTCTTTGAATTCCTTTTTCTTTTCTCCTGCTCCTCCACCTCTCCATGGACTTACCACATGCTACCGACGTCCTGTGATAGCCAAGTTTGTTTCTTCTCTTCTCAGCGGCCAAGCTGATTGCCGCGTGATCGGGCTGCGAGAGGCCCTGTTGCTGAGCCATGCTCATATTTGCGTCTTGTGCTTGCTGAGGTGCAACAACTGGGGTGGACACGGATCGCTTCAGCTTCATATTCACAGTACTACTCTTTGACAAGGAATCGCGGCGTTCGCGGGGAGACGAGTGCGGTTCTTGGCCGAGTCCTGAGGAAGAGGAGGTCTGGGGGAGCCCGTTGGCGTAATCTGCGGCGGCCATGGACACGTGGTAGCCGGCAGGCGAGAGGGCCATGTGGGTAGTGCTGCCGCCGCTGGCGGGCGGCGCAGGGTATTGGTAGGACATAATGTCGGTCATTGTGACGGCCGAGGTGGCGGAGGCTGTGGTGGGGGAGAAGGGAGCGTACGAGGCGTACGGGTCGAAGGTAGAAGAAAAGGGCGATGTGGGGGAGAAGGTGGCGGAAAAGGGTGAGAAGGGAGAGGTGGACGACGAGGACGAGGAGTAGGATAGATCTGGAGGCGAGGATGAGGACGATGCCACAGGATATGCAACGGTTGTAGTGCCGGATCCCCAAAAGTCCAGTCTTTCTTGGAGAGGAGGAGGGGCGACGTCGGCCATGAACGGAATGCAACTCTTGTTGACAACTTACAGTGGATGGAAAAAGAAAGGTGAAAGGTTGCGAGGCGAGAGGGTGCTTGTTGTGTTTGAGCGAGGAGATGGTGGACGATGCAAAAGGAAAGGGAAAAGGAAAGGAAAAGGAAGAGCAGAACAGGCCGAGAGAAGGAGAAGGGAGGGAGAAGAAAAAGGAAAACAACAAGAAAAAGAAAGAGTAAGGGAAAATATAGAAGAGAGACGAGACGAGTAAAAGAAAAAAGAAATAAAGGAAAAAGACAAGTAAAGAGGAGTTGGGGTCAGAATTATATTGAGTAGGTCGAGTCAAAAGGCGGAGATGCAATGGCAAGGATGAACGGAAGATGGATAGAGGAGAAAAGGAAAGATAAAAGAAGAATATATGAGAGAAAGAGAGAAGAAAAATTGATAAAGCAAGAAACCAGAGACAAGATGGGCGGACAAGATGGCGAATGGAATAAATATAAAGAGGACTGGAGTACCTGTACAAAAAGAAAGGGAGGAGGGTACGAAAAGAGATGAGGAAGAAAAAAGAGATGCACGTATTAGACAGTCTTATGAATTCGTTGTGTGATATAGCCCCCAGTCGGTTCCATCAATAGGAGGACAGGGTAATAATGCTGCATGTGAAGCTGTAACAGCGGTGCTCCGACAAGTCAAGACCAGACGAGCCGAACGATCCAGAAGAGCCAGAAGATCCAAAAGAGCCACAAGAGCCAGAAAAGCCAGACAAGCCTGGCGTAAGTTGAGAATTCGAGAGTCGAGAAACAAGGATAAGAGCCAGATAGATTGCTTGGGCCCAGAAAGCAGGAGACCAGTGTCCCCCTTTGCTCGGCCGATGATTGACGACACCCGGTATCAGGGTGTTGAGTGCAGCCGAGAAAGGAAAATATGGGGGCCGAAAGCAGCTATCTGGAAGAAAGGCAAGGAAAGGCCGAGGGGGCAAAAAGCAAAGATGCGTCGAGCCTGGAGAGTGTGGAGAATGGGCAGGTTTGGGCAGGGATGGTGGATGAGAAGATCAAGAGCCGGGGGAAAAAAAGAGATGTGAAATAAATGGTGACAGGACGTAGATGCAGTAAATAATGGTGGAAGTGGGCGAGCGAGGAAGGGACGCGGTGCGCTCGAGAGCAGGAAGGTGCGATGTGCGATGGGCTAGGACCGCAGGAGAGGCAGGAACGATGGCCACAGGCGCGTGGATCGTCTCCCCAGAGCCAACGATGGGGTTTGGGTGGTTGAATGGTGCCCAAAAGAAAATAAAAGCAGCAGAAGGAGGTCCAAGAGAAAAAGAGAGGCGTGAGCAATAAAAATTTCGAGGGAACAAAGAGCACTGAGAGGTCGTAAACAAGAGTAATGGGCAATAAAGAGAGCTGCTATTGGGGTGAAGACAGGGTGAATGGGCAATGAGGCAAAGAGGCAGGCGGGCCGGCCATTAACAAGCGAGGAAAGAGCAATGGGTGCAGAGGTAAAATGGAAGGAATCAACGCATCCAGAGTTCTTTCGTACATGTACAATAGGAAGGCGCCACTGGCAGTGGGAAAAGAGGAGTTTAACAATTCCTTTTTTTTTTTAAGAAAAAAAGGCAAAAACAGCACAAAACCCAACCAGAAAAAGGGTAAAGAGAGAAACGCTGCTGGCTTGTAAAGGAAGCTTACGGGGCATTTCCAGTCGCAGAACAAAAAAGACTGGCCAACGGTATTGTGAGCAGGGCGAGGGGTGTGAGAAACGATGCAGACAAAACGACGGGCAATAGAAAATATAAGGCGATAATAATAGAATGGGAATACAGAATACAGCAATACAGAGCAGAACAGCGGAGAGAGATGCGAAATGCTGTCACAGGCAGGGGATCTGACAGGCAGTCGGCCTGAATTCACACGCATGTACGACATAATACTCCGTAAGCATCACTGGCAGGTCGACTTTTACGAGGGTACTGTTACTGCCGGTTCTGGCTCGACCTGGCGGGTGGCAGATACAGAACGATGAACTTTCGCCTGGGAGAGGATTTTAGGGGGCGTGGAAGGCAGGGGTGTAAGGGGAGGGAGGGGGTGTCTGTATGGAATAAGGTGAGAGCGAGCTGGGGCAGTAGCCATCGAAAATAAATGCAAATACTTAAAAAGTGAGCTTAAGAAGGAAGAGAAGAATGAAAAAATGAAGCCAAGTAGATCAAGACAGTCCCCTGCTGTCCTCATATTTGAGGCTATGGTTCTCAACGTTGCCAGCGATCACGGCAGCTGGGGACCATGAAGAAATAAACGAGCAACAAGACATGTAAAAAAAAGATTGATGGTGAGACTAAAATTGGGCACACTGTTTACCATGAGTAAAGGGTCTCCCTTTGCTGGAGACCACTTTCTACGTTTATTTTTATGTTGTTTATTTTTGGCAAAAGATGCGTTTGTTGGTGCCGGACGGGAACACGCCTCGGGAGTCTACATCTGAGTCTGCCAGTCTTGCCTCTCGTCGGTGTCGTAGTTTTTATTTTAAGTTCCAGTTGGGGAAGTCGTATTTTCCTCTTTGGGGAGAATGGGAAAGGAGTCTTCCCGATCTGTCTTCTTGTCTCTGGGGCTTAAGACAAGGGTGAATTGGAGATGCCGTGGGGAATGGAATATGAGGGGCACGGCATATGAGCAGCAAGCTGGGCGGTCGAGGGGAAAAGCGAGGTAGCAACACGTGTGAGAGCAGAAAAAAAGAATACAAAGAAGGTTAAAAATGCATAGAACAGAAAGAAAAGAAAGAAAAAAAGAGGCCTGAACACATGTCAATGTCTGGTTCAACCGCCTGTTTGGGCAGCAAGGCACGTAATGCTCCGGAGTTCCAGGCAAGCTGGTAGGGAGTACGGAGTACGACGTATTGCGAAACAAAGGAGAGGCAGCTGGTTGGCCACTTTGAATGGGCTCGGGGGCGAGTTGGCAGGGAGAAGGGATCAGGAGACGAGGCGAGATCCAAGACCACAAGATACCGGTTCATTCTGAGGGGAAAAGGAGGAGGTCAAGGGAGATTTAGAAGACAGAAAGAAGAGCGAACTCGAACTCAAACTCAAACTCGGGAAGCACAGCATGTTGGGTTGTTGTGTCTGTCGTGCTGCTCGCCTAATTCAGGCGCCGGCTTCTCAGCCTTCTTTTTTTCTTGTCATCTGAAACGGCTTTGTTGTTCCCTTTTGCATGTTTGTTTTCCTCGTCTTGCGTATTTGGTTTTCGAGTTTAATTCTCTTGCTCCACGATGTTCGGTATGGATTCCACGCACATTTTTCTTTTCCCACTCGGATCGAGTTCCGACTAGCAGGTGATTCGAGAGAATACGGTAGGGCATAGGGTAGGGATGTTGAGGAGGACGATGAAGCAAACAGAGGGTGTGTCAATAGTGGCGGCGACTAGGGGCGTGTGGTTGTGACGAAGTGCTGCAGAAGGCAGTTGTTGCAGTACATGGAAAAATGAAACATTGACTTTTGTCCTGTTGCAAGGCGATATAATATGGAATATATGGGGAAAAAAAAAAAAGAAGAGAGAGAGAAAGGAAAAGTAACGTGGTTCCCGATTCCAAGCCCGCTGGCCTCGACGCCCTGGCCAGCGTTTCTCGTCGTTTGGCTCCCCACGTCGACAGCCACCAAGGTTGCGTATTGCCCTGTCGTGTTTCAAGAGTACGTAGGCAGGCCTTGGGCTCAGGCAGGTACAACGGTACGTCGTGAGAACTTACAGAGGACGATACAATCACCAACGGCATTTTTAGTTGGACCGCCCTGTCGACCCTGTCAACCATGTTGCCTCGTATGTTTTGTCTTTTCTTTCACCTGTCTGCGCTAGGTACGGCCCTTCGACTCGCCCAGCCGTTAGCCGCAAGAGCGAGAGGACTAGGGGGCTGAAGACCAAAAAGGACAGGGATGTTGGAGTAGCTTGACAGAACGCTATAGATTGTTTGAATATGGCGAATAGTGCAGTGAGGGTCATATGTCAATGTTTACGTGCCTTTTTTTTAAGAAAAAAAAAGAGTAGTAATGATTGGCTTCACTGGAAGGCGTCGTTTTCCGTTGTCCCTGTTGTTTCTCTTATCGTTTCTTCATTCTACCTAGGCCTGCGTTGTTTTCTCGGCCAATCCAGATGGACCGATTGCACGAGTGTGATGCTAGTTGGTAACGAGGGCTTGAAAAAAAAAAAGCCTCAGTTACGTCAGGGATGGTGAGCTATATCCCTTCCATATTGTGTCATTTTGTCACTTTTACTCGATATCTTTCCTATTTCATTATCTCTCTTCGTCGAGTCTTTTTCGTCAAGTCTTTTTTCGTCGCGTCTCTCTTCAGGAGTGTAAACAAACACGGCTGTGGCACATGGCCAATCCCGAGAAACCAGGGCGGGAGACAGCCAGACGGCAGAGAGGTAGGGGACGGAAAGAAGGAAGAAAAGAAGGTTTAGAGTTAAGACAGAAGACAAGGGAGGGAATACCAAGTCACGACATGGCGGCCGACCACTCAGCCACGCGATATAGAAAGCACTATGGGAACAGGCGATTGCGTTTCGCGGCTTTTTGCGATGCTCTTGCGTCCTTTGTGGCTTTTGTTTTTCCGTGGCTCGTCTAAGCTCTACTTTCGAATTGTATTCACAGTGCTCCTTAGATGGGACGAATTAGAGATTGTAGGATAAATGGAAAGGGAAGAAAACGAAAACGAAAACGATTTTTTTTTAAAAAAAAAAGAAAATAAAACAAGAAAACCCCCAACTGAAGCGAGCAACACCCGAAGCCACAATGCATGCGCAATGCAATGCAGGAAAAGACATTGACCACCTGTTCACACGTGCATTTGGCAGGGCGGCGGCTGAAACTGACATTCGTTGTGTGCGAATTGTCGCATTCTACCACAATTCAGCCATTGACGACGGATGACGCTGTATGGCGTTTCTTGGTGTTGTATTTTCTCTCGTTGTTTTGTAATGCAGGTATGTTGTACACCTGCAGCAGTCGGCATTTGTGTAAACCATGTACGATGGATTACGGGGTGCTTGTACGAAATACATTTATTTAACATTGCTTACAAAAGTGTAATGAGTACGGAGACTACGGAGGTACGAAGTACAGACGCCACATCTGCGTAGTCTGGCTTTCTTGGGACAGGGGAAGAACACAGCGACCTTGAGAGACCCTGAGCCACCTCGGAGATTCCGGCGACCCTGAGTCCAGGGTTGAAAAGAAAATGTGCGTGCGCAAGCAGGGGAGGCGGTCGGAGACGGACAAGACGTTGAAATACGAAGTCATATGGAAGTCACAGAGAAGCAAAAAGGAAGACAAAAAAGAAACATGGAAGCCGAAATCAAAGGCAACGGCCAGAACGAGCCGAACATCTTCATGTGTCACAGGGATTTTTGTGCATGTTCTGCGTTTTGTCCCAAACGGTTAATTATGGCCCGAACAGGCTTATTTTGGTAGCATTGCCTGAAGACTTGCTGATTCTGAGTCGCACTACACGGGCAGCTGACAGGGGACTTGGTGAGAAGAAGGCAAAAAGGAAGAAAGCAAAAAAAGCAACAGAAACAGCATCCTGGCATGATTTTTTCCTTCTAGAACCCCTCAAAGCTTCTGACCCAAGATATAGCCGGTCGGAAAGATGGCAAAGAAATCGACAAAGCAGGATGGATGAAAGATGAAAAAAAGACGAAAAAAAGAAGAAAAAAACAGAAGACAAAAAGAGAAGGGCAACTCCGTTGTCGATCATTCCCCTTGTATCGTGAATGCATTTCTGCAGTGTACTTACTCGTTACTCCGTATTAATAGCCTCATCTACTCCGGATATGCACTGCATAATTTGTCAGTGTCTGGTGCATTGTCTCATGTTTGGACGTTGTCATTGAAACCTTTCAAAGTTGCTGTCTCGGCTAAAGGCGAGGAAGATAAAAAACAAAAAAAAGGATGAAAATAAAAATAAGGAAGCAAAGTTGGTAGCAACAAATCATCCCATTCTGCATTGTTGAAGCCTCCAGCCAGAATAGGCTCTACACGCCTGTCGTGCGAAGCGACGCAATTCTCACACCGTGCAGATTTGGATGTTTGATTTTGATTTTGACTTTGATTTTGATTTTTTTTTAATGTGAAAGGCTCCGTGACAAGTGCTGTGCATTGCACTTTTGAATATCGAGAAGCTGTCCATTAACTACCGTTAATATGGAGTCAATATATGGGCGGAACGGCGTTGAGTGCGAGCCCGACTGATAAGGAATGGCAATTTGGCAGTCTTCTAGAAGGTGTGGGTAGTGGAAGTAACCGTACCGGAGAGAAGCACAAGAGAAAGTCCTACGTCGCACTGAAAAAAGACGTAAAACACCACCTGTTCGGACGCAATTGCTGCTGTTGCATTGTGTTGAGCAAAAGTCGATCAGGTCTGTTCGCGTGATGTCGTGTCACATGCTCTGTGCTTGAAGACGAGCAAAAGAAGAAATAGAGAGACCAAAAAAAGGTTTCAAAAAAACAAAGGCTAATATGGAACACTTCACGAGTCCGAATTGATAGCTTCAGCTCCATTAATAGAAGAGTATATAATACTCTTCGCCTTTGTTAGGGTGTGTACGTCGTATATTGATTATGGGAAGAAGGCGCATTTCTCCGGCTGTTGGTGATTTGAAAATGGGGATTGGCAAATCAAATGCAATCCCAGGAGCCTCTTTTTGATGAGAATGACCGAATCAGCCAAAAGAGTGCAGTGCTTACAGAATACTGGGTAGTAGCAATCGAGAAGTACTCCATGCTCCGGACACAACACGTTGTATTGCGGCATGCATCGACAGGGTCGCGACCAAAGCCGCCAGCGACCAGCAGCCAGCAGCCAACGGCGAAAACGTCACAGGGCGATGGCTTCTTGCTGGCATTGGCGGTTTTACGAGCATGACACCGGATCACAGAGCCTCCAACTCCGGTATGAGGTCAAAGTCACAAGAACAGGCAGTCATAGCAGCAACAGGCCAGTAACAAGCAGGGAAAAGACACAGCACAGACGCAGACACAGACTGACAGGAGACTGGCATAAACTGGGCTGACCGTGGCTTGACGGGGCTGGTTCTGGTTGTTGACCGTTGGCCACAGACAGGGATCTAGGGTCGAGCATGGGCGACGTGGACAATGCGGAAAGGAGGGAAGAGAGGGAAGAGGATGCAAGAAAACAGCCAGAGATTGGATGTATCGTACGACGCTGGTGGCAGCAAAAAAAAAAAAAAAAAGAAAAAACAATGACCAAATTACACCGAGATTTTGCCAGCTCGTTTCCACACTTTGACATTGTTTATTTTGTGCAATCTCACGAGAAGCACGTCTTCAGGGCGAGCCTAAAACTGTAGGCAAAAGAAGCTGTTTGCATTCTATTCTGGTCACGTCTTTCTGTAAGGTAGCGATGGCCATTCCAGGGGACGGTATACTCTCGGCTTTCACTATAATAAACACACGAATAGATTGCTGTGTTTTGTCTTTTCCCGACAACAGCTTCTAGTTTTCCCGTCAGTTCCCAAACCCAGCCAAACAACGTAGCAAAAGAGACCCTGAATGTCCGATAGTGCAGACACACCAAACTTCTATTTTGTTCTAAAAGGTCATCCTACTCACTACTATGCATAATGGCCCACAACCAGCACTCCTTGCAGGATTTGTTTCAACGCCTGTTTTGACCGTTGGTTTGGTCCCCTGTAGGGGCAACACAGGCCAGTCGTCAATAAGGCAGTTCCTCTGCGCTGCACAATCAGTCGACATGGGTGCCAGGGTCTCCTAAATTCGCGAACTATGCATTGACTATTACAAAGAACATTTTCCTGTCTCACAATAGGCAGGCACAAAATCGATGACGGACAGGTTGCACGATTCACACAAATAGCCGCCGGGGTGTCCTGCTTTGTGTTGCTTTTGTCTGTTGGTGCGTGTGGGCAACGGCGTGGGAGAGTGGGAGTAAAGTAACCCTGCATGTCAACAGCAGCCCTCTTGTGCGCCCCCATCTCCCCATCTCGCATCCACAGTCCCCCCAACTTTCGGTCACTCCTTTTTGTCTCTCTTTTTTTTATAAAAAAAGAGATCCAGTGCATTGGTCATCATGGTCAACGACATGCAGGTTCGTCGTACGCAGTATGGAGGTGGACTTTCGCCTTTCCAGAACAAAAGGGACGTTCTGGCGTCGTAGACACTGTTTCGTCGCTTTTCGCTGCCGACATCGCCCCGGTAGATGCCAAAAAGACAAAAATAAACAGCCAAAAAAAGCAACACCAAGCAACACCAAGCAAAAATAGGTCATTGCGTACGTCGCTCCAATCCCAACTTGTTTGTTGACGTTGCCATCTTTCATGGTAAAATGGTAAAAATAGATTGCACGCACAGAACGGGAGCATGGCGCCGACTTGGCCGGCATATGACGGGCATGATAAGAAGTGAGCCGACGTGAAAGATGAAAACATGAAAATAGAAAGAGGGTATTTTACATGACGCTCGGCTGAGCAGTCTGATAGGTTTTTTTTTTTTAAAAAAAAAAATTTCTGCTTGGAATAGCGTCCCAGGACGATCACGGGAGCAACGAAACTCTCCCTTTCTGCGCCTCTTTCCCATGTGCATTCTTTTCTTTCCGAATGCTGTCTCTTTCTTACCTTTCCCAAGCGTCTTACCGTGGTTCGCGGCCGCGGACGGTTCGTGACGAGGTGGAAGGGAAAGAGGCACAGAGGGTGACGAGGGAGAAGGAGGGATCGCTGAGAGCGGCATAGATGACGGGTGGCGAGAATGTTGAAAAAAATAAGTCGTGGAAGACGAGATGTTGGAGGAACGGACTGCACAAAACGTGGAGAGGGACGGCGGGAACCACAGGGGAGGGCTTCAAGTCGACCAGGATTTGACAACGGTTCGTCGCTTCTTTCACGTCTAGGGCCCTTCGCCCTTCTGCCTCTTCTCCCCTCATGACCTCCCGCTGCCGATGTCTGGGGCTGCCGTGTCTCTCCAGACTTTCTGTTGCATCGATTGCCGTCCGGGGAGGACAATACGACGTGGTCGAGAGCATTGGGTTGATCAAAAAGCCAGTATTCTTTTCTCTTTTTCTCTTTTTCTCTTTAATTTTTTTTGTCCTACCCCCTTTCTGATGATCATCATTACGTTCCCTCTTTTCTTCGCGACCACTCGGTCTGTGCTCAAAAGGGTCTCTCGCCGGTCCCGACGGGCAACTCCGCCAGCGGTTGGTCCGAAGACGTTGCAACGAACATGCTCCTCTGGCGAATGGCGAACAATGGTACGACATACGTCGTGCGTCGCAATGCAGTACTTTGGCTACGAGGTAAGGTCGGAGAAATTGCAGACAAAGACGCGCCAAATAAGGGAACCACACACCTCGAGACATCTGTCATCTGTACCTCGCCAGAATGCGTCGCATGGAATGATTGGCAATGTGGCAAAACAGACAAGGACCAGGCTATTTGAAGAAATGTCAAAGAGGCAGAATGACGGGGTACGGACTACGGAGGTAATATGACTAGTCGTTAACAGACGAACCGTTGACATTGCGATAAAACGCACACACACAGAAAGACCGTTGTAAGCTAGGTGCTTGGTCTTGCCCCGTCTTAAAAAGATAGGATGAACTATTGCGTTCGTATGGAGCACGTCTTGTTCTGTTTATGCAGTTTCAAATGCAGCACAACAGGCAAAAATGGATGAAGGGTGAAACGAGGTAGAAGTACGTGAAGAAGAAGAGAAGCCGAAAAGAAGGAGGACGAAAGAAAAAAGAACAAAATCAAAGTTAAGACACCTCTTCCGAGTGGATCAAGATTGATCCACGACAGGGATGCTGCAGTGCCTTGTTCACGAACGCTTCCCCCTCGTCGGACGTCGGAGCAGGGGGTCTGTTGAATTCCACTCTTTTCGGCGGACTTTGTGGGTACTTATGCTCGAGCGTCTTATCGATGTCAAATTACTCCGTACGCCTACGACATACGACATACGAAGCAGGTCGTATTTGGCCGTCTTCTCTGGTTTATGCGCCCGTCGTTTGATGGTCTCGCTGTGTATCACCAACTCGCCTGGAGAAGACTGTTCTGGCATGGCCACATCTCTTCTCTGTCGACATGTCGAACTTGGATGGTCAGTGCTGGGGACCCGTCTTGAAACTGTTCGGGGCGCCTGCCGTGTGAGGTGTCGACATGTCGATTGTTGATGATAGAGGCAAATGACGAGGGACAAGTGTGATGAAAGCACGCCCGTTATCGCCCATTACTTCCCGCCGGTGTCCATGCGTCCTTTCCACGTGCTGGGCGCATGTGTACTTGCCCACGGACGTTGCTTTCCTTTGTGTATAGGTTACCGTGCGGTTGCGTGCTAGTGAAGGAAAGAAAAAAAGAAAAGGAAAAAAAAAAACAATATTCAGCAAGCACATCGAGGACAGCTAACAACAGCAGTATCAAGCTTGGCCCAGACATCGTCAATCATTCGTTTCTGCGACCAACTGCCATTGCCAGTCACCATATATTTTTTACCTCCGTAGCTATATAATTCTATCAACATCCTACGCGCCTATTGCATCCAAACACATTTGATACCCATTTATGTCCAACCTTTACGTTTCTCGGCCAAACTCGCACACCCTTTAGGTTCAGGCAGATTGTGAGAAGCACCGAAAGACAGCCCGCGTCCGGGCCTTGGTTGAAACAGGCGGCAATTTATACGCACGTGTTGGAGACGGAACGTTGGCGAGGCAATAAAGAGGAGGAGACGGAGGAGAGCAGCTTTGAGAAATACCAAAAATAAGATGTCATATAGATTAAGACGCCGCAGACGAGCCACACACGCGCCGCCTGCACTTTGTTTTCGGTAGCCAGGACGGTTTCTCCTGAGGGCTATATTTCGAGCCGGCGGCTATGGTGGGTGGACTGAATAAATTGAAGTGCTCACAGGCCAAAAAAGAAACTTCGCAGAAGAAGAAGAATAAGAAGAGCAAAACGGTCAACGCGCCCACACATCGATCTGCCTCCGACCTGTCACTTTGGTTTACCCGCACTGACGTCTGTGCAACGCGCGCTCCAGGCCTGGTCCATGCTTGCCTGCCATCCAGCGACAGGGCTCCTTGGCGAGGCCTGCCAATGACACTGCACATCAGCATTCTCATTCTCCCTTTCTCAGCCATCGTGGAGCCGGCTGTTCGTCCTGGTCGGTTCGCTGCTCCGTAGGATAAATTTTAGAATTATTACTCCGCTGTCCTCGTTTTATCTGGCCTGCTGGGGCCAGGGTGAATCCTTGCCATCTCGGTCTCTCACTCGTCAATACGACCAGGGGGGTGTCCATACCGGTGAGCGCCAGTCTTCTCCACCGGACTGCCCATCATCCGACTCTGCGACGCTGTACGAATTATGAAGCTTGTATTCCGTAACTTCTATCGGCTCCACCCTCCTTTTTTTATGAAGGTAGGTGAATCGGCTGTCTCTGTGAGGTCAAGATAGTCCAGTGATGAATACGACAATCATCGATGGGCATTTCAGCGCTGTCATTTTGTCTCTTACTTTTTTTTTTAAAAAAAAAAAAAGAAAAGTGTATACTCAAATGTATCCTTCCAGTGACAAGATTTATCGCCTAGGACATCCCCAATTCACCATTTGTGGTCATCGTATTTTGTTTAAACGGCTTGGATGCCGAGAGCCTCCCAAACACGTCGAGCCCAAAAGCCATGATAAACGTCTCGGCTCATTGCCGACGGCTTTACCCAAACCTGGCCATCCGAGGCCAGTTCACAGATTGCAGTGCTCGGTTCATGGACGGACCGGCCATCTGCCGCGGCCTGGAGTTCTGGAGGTTTTGACAAGGGCATGACAGCTTGTGTCGGAGGGGCTGAAATAAATAAATAAATCAACCTGCACACGAACGATCGACCAGTGTCTGGGACACCGTCAGATCAAGAAAACCAGTGCTCTCCTAAACTGTAACACATGTGAAGGCGTTCATCTCAAGTCGAGTCTTGTGATTTCACGGATGATGCGCAGCTTGGGGTTTTCAGTTATATTATTTGCAAAATAAAAAGAGGGCCTTGTCTTCAAATTCCGCTGCATGATCACAGAAGATCTCTTGTGTCGGCAACATGAATGATTTGGCAAGATACCCGTGTCAGAGACACCAGACGAAAGGCAACCAGACTTGAACGTATCCAGGCTGCTTTCAGACTGCAGATCGTCGACTCGCCTGCTTCTGATCGACGTCTCTTCACACGAGAACCACCAGACATCCTTGATTTTCCTTGGATTTCGTTGTTTTTGGCTGTATCAACTCGAGCGGTGTGCATTTTCTTGACAGTTATTGAGTCGTGTGAGGTAATAATGTGCTGGTGTGCACACTCAACTCGAACGACTCGACTAGGTGGACATATATCCTTACTTATATACGCATAACCGGTCAAGCCATTGTACTATTCATACAACGTGGCTTGTCTTCAGAATGCACAACTCAAAACTCGCCTTTTTGCGCGACGGTTTCACAACTGGTCTCTGCCTACGGTCAACACAGAACGCACGACAAGAACTAAATTCAAATTCCTCGTACAATGCGGATGAGGCTCTGCATGTCTTTTGCCCCCGTATAATTTACCTTCTTGTTCACATCCCTGCCCCAATATATCCCGCTCCTCCACACGGCCTTGTCGACTGCCGGCCGGATCAGCCGCGCATCGGGATCCTTTGCTCATCTCGGGCCTCGGTAGTCGCCGTACCATATCTGAAAAAGGGACGTATGAGTTCAGGGAGCTGGGTTCTTCTTCTTCTTTTTTTTGTTGTAGGTTTCTGTTTTATCATCAATTCCCAAGAAAAAAATGACGAAAACAAGGACGACAGAAGAAAGGACGACAAAAGCATCGAGACCCAGACCTACACAACTTCAGTCTCCGACAAACGATGAGCAACGCCACTCTTTCTCGCCCGCAGTCTAGAACAGCCCAGACACATCGCGTCTGCCCCCAAAATAAGCATCTAAGCATCACTAAGCAGACGTGCAGGGCAAAAAGCGAGCACCACCAGGAGGAACGGCCAGCTGGAAAGACCAAAAATGGGGTTGCAGAACGGATGCCGGCGATCTCACGTCCGGTCCTTGCCTCGAACGCTGGGCAAAATAAAATAAATACATAGTGGGAGGGCAAAAGAGAATGCCCAGCCTTGGTTCTGGCGGTTCCGGAGGATGCGGCCCTCGCGATGCGGAACCATGGTTGTACCTCGACCAGTTCTCCGTGCATTTCCCCTCTTCTCTTCCACAGTTCACCAGTCAGAGCTCGGTGTGCCCTCCCCCCCATACACTCGTTTCCCTGTCGCCTCTCTTACGGACAGGCCTTCCCCTCTTATTGAAACTCCCAGTTGCGTGCCCAATAGGCGAAGGGCGCGTATGGTCAGGACAAAGAGTGGGTGTGTTCAGTCGCCCCTGCATGGTGGACAGACCTGCCAGCCAAGGTGCAAAGTGCTCAGCAGGTCAGTCAGTCGCTAGATCAACTGGACAAAATCAAGGAGAAACACTCGAAAACAAGCAATGCCGAGATATGGCTCGCACAGAGGCTATGGCGCCTGGGCTCGTTGGAACCTGGCGGTCGAGCCCGCAAAACGCTAAACGGGACAGCATCAAAGCAGAAGGAGGCCTCGAAACATTGTGTTCCACGGTGAGCATTTCTCACTTCTCACGTTCCCTTGCGAAAAAACACACTCGGCCAAGGTTGTGGCCTACGGAGGGTTATAGTTGGCGAAGCGTATGATATATCATAGGCGTCAAAGCACGACTGCCTCACATTCACAGTGTTCCTAACAGCGTGCGTAAGACCTACACACTGCGTACACTACGCGCGAGATGCCTCACAGTAGACTGACAGCCAGTCACACCAACCTCCTTCTCCCCCCTCACAGGGTCTCCGGCATCGGGAGCGTTATTCTGCACTCGGAAAACGAGTTTACCTCGCTTCGTGCTTCTATTTTTGGTTTTCTGCTTGCTCTCCTTTGCTCGAAGCGCCTAAAAGTGACGAGAGATGCCGAAAATGGATGGCTGCAACACGAGAAGGAGGATCCAACTGAAGCCGGTCTACGGCACCGCATACATGACTTGTCCATTTTGGGTAGATGCGAAGGAGACGACGCACCATGACATACACATGATGAAACGTCATAGCATCAGGATATAGACGTGCAGGTGAAAAGTATAGAAACACTTGGAAACGTAGCCAACCAACGATGAAAAAAAAGAGTCATCTGTTAGTGATTTGTATTGCAAAGAACAAGAGCGCCCAAGACGAAGAAGCATAGAAACAAACACAACATAAGAGTTTTCCAATCAACTCTTTATAACTCCGAGGCCACATTGCGATCACTGGATGCCGCACTGCACCAGCGTGTATGTGTAACAACTGTATCAACAATGCATTGCGTGTTGCTTCGCACGCTGAGAATGCAAGTCGTATTCTGTCTCAAGTATCATACAAGGTCATAACGTCATACTTTTGCCCACGGTCTGGTGGCACTTTGTCTCCACACTCTGACTACGTGCCTCCTCAGTCCTGCAACCGCCACAGCAGCACAATCAACGTAATGTACGCAGAAATGCTCAACAAGCTCAACATGGCCACGCTGTTGCCGCTCGTGCGGAACTTCTTCTTCGTGACCATGCGCGTGTAGACTGTGCTGCGGTGGCCGGAGTGCGTCATGTGCGGCTGCTGGAAGAGGTGGGCCGCGCCTGTTGTGCTTGCTTGGCCCGGCTGCTCGCCGTCGACCGTCTCGTCGTAGTAGTCGCCATGGCTGTTGTCCTCCTCCTTGGCCTCCTCCTGGGTGCTGAAAAACTGCCGGTTGCCCTCGTACCGGCGGTAGATGGCAACGAGCATGACAGCCGCGCCGTAGACAGCAAAGAGCGCGCCAATGGCATAGAACTCGGCAGTAAAGATCTTGAGCACAACGAGCGCAAAGGAGAACTGCGACAGCGCCGTGCGCATGTAGGCACCCTCGAACGTGCGCTGGGCAGCACGGATCTCCACAAGTCTGGCAATGTCAGCAGCTCGTTTTCATGAATCATGCGCGGTGTAACGTGGTGAGCACGCAAACGCACTCTTCCGAGGTCAGGATCACCGACCGGGCACGGTGCAGCCGTAGCTGTAGCCGGTCCTCGGGGTGCGGATACAGTGCCTAGGAGAGTCAGCCGAGGCCCCGACCGGAAATATCACAACGCATAGCAGTCAGGGGATATGACACGGAGACACACCTCAAACATTGTGCACAATTCGGCCGAAGAGTAGTAAATACAACCCAAAAATAGAAGTAAAAAAGGTATGAGAGGCCAGGTGGAAATGGGTAGATGATCAAGAGACGAAGCCTCCTGAGACCACTCTCTCGGTAGAAATCGCGATTAACCGGTGCAATGGCGTCGAGTATTGGCTCCGGCTGAAAACCGTCAGGGCGGCATGAGACCGTACACTCTCGACAGCGGGTGGCCTGCGTAACCCGATCACGGCCAGAGGGTTGATATAGCCTTATTGAGAGTGAGCTGTGTTTCGTTGGGGTGCTTCACTGCAGAAAAGAGAAGAAAGCACAATGAAGCATCACCACTTCACAAAACGTCACAACACGGCAATTACGCTAACTTGCAGCTCTAAGGCGCCTTCCCGCCATAATTTTGCGAGCTCCTCAGGTAATTACGTCCACCACCTAAAATACGCCATTATAAGCGAGGTCACGTGTACACAGCTAGAACTGGGGCCTGATAATCTAGGCGCCAAACCCGCCTGTTTATGCACTTGAAGCCAAATGCACCAGTGGCAGCCTTCTTGCTACAGCTGGCGTTACTGAGGAGAGCTCCGGCCACAAGCGCCGTTTGCAACTGGAGAAGCAGCGCACTATTGCCACACCAAGACGACCCAGCCCGCCGACAGCAAGCGCTACTGAGTTCCTTCGTATTGCGAGATCGACTGCTGCGTTCTTTTGCCCGTCTCGTTTTCATTCCTCATGCAACGTCGCCGGCAGACACCGCAGAACAACACAGCGCCATTTTCGTCGCCATCGACCTCGACGTCACATTCTGGAACCGCCGGCTTCCCACAGCAGAGACAGAGCCAGAGACAGAGACAGTCCTCGACGGGCACACAACCCCCGACCTCGTTGATGAACAGCGGCATCGAACTACGCGATCGACCCGCCCGAGCCGACCGATCCGCCGCCCACGGCACCAGCAGCAGCATCAGCAGCCGGCAAGGGCTCTACCAGCGCACGTCGTCCGCCGCCGCCGCGTCGTCTGCGTCCAACTACGCCGCCTACCAGGCACCGTCCCTCCACGCCCAGCCGCCCGTCTCCGACACAATTTTCATCATGAAGCCGCTCGTGGGCGCGATTCAGGCATGGTCCTGGTGAGTTTCTCTTGCTGCGCGAGAGTGGAAGAAGCTGCAGGAAAACGAAACCTGGTCGCGAAACGCGGATGATGCTAACTGCCCAGCGTCGTCATCTCCATTTTCGCCATCCTGATTCTGTCAATCATGGGCCTGCTCTTCCGGGCCAACCACCATGAGATGGTCGGTGGCGTCGACGATCCCGAGAACGGCCCCGAGGTCGCTGCCACGATCTTTGTTGCCGTGCTGGTCTATGCCGTATGTTGTTTTTCGTTTCCGCCTCCAGCCGCATCTCGCCATCTCCCGTTGGCTGAAACGCTGCTAACTCACCCATCTCTCCAGGGCTTCCTTGTGTTCTGCGGTCTCCAAGGCCTGCTGCACCTACGCGAAAACCGACGAGGAGCGATTGCGCTGTAACGACCCATGCGTGTGTGTATATAAAGCTGGAGTCGGAGAGAGCCTCCTGGATCAGGATGGAATTGGGGTCGGGACCGGGATCGGGGCCGGGACTATCCGAACAGTTGAGAGCACCCTCGACGCCCTCCCATGGAGACCATCCCACACAGAGGTCGCATGGCCTGAAAGCCCGGCTCCTCATTTGATTTCTTCGGTGGATCCGTGCCATCGTGTCCGCGGTTACTACCTCCCATATTTTGCTTTGCTTTGCCTGTTTTGCGTTCTGTTTTTCTGTTTTCTCTTTGTCATGGTTTTCATCTTGCATGCTATTCATCCGCATGCCGTTTGTCTGTTGTCGGGCATCGGTGTTTTGTCCTGTCTCCTTTTTGGCAGCTGTATATTTACAAATAGATGTATCCCGTCGTCGCCGCCACCATCGACGCCTAGTCGGGCAAAAATGCACCCATGTTGTGCCTTACAAAGAATGGACTGTAAAGTGTCCATGACACTGAACGCTACTGGCATTTGCTCTCCTCTGTATCTCCACCAAAGCCACAGCTTGGACGTGTCGTCGTCCAAACTCGCGAGGTATATTCCACCGTTGCCTCCACTCCCCACGCACAAGTTCGACAACGTCTACGACGATGTGACGACGATGTGACGCTTTGGTGTCGAGGCTCCACCTCTGCTGCCTACAGTGCCTGAAAGCCCCAGCCTCTGACAGGCCAATTCGTTCTAAAGATCCAATCAGCCGCCGAGGCGCCGCCTCCGCGCCGCGCGAAACGAAATGAGCTAAGAAAGGAACCAGAGCCACGCTGCGCGTTGTTAACATCCTGCTGGTTCCACAGCCGTACGAATTCACATCATCATGGTCTTCCTTTGAACAGCGTCGTATAGCACTTTCGAAATGTCGCACAACTTATCCAATTTGAGCCAATTGGGCATGCCGTTTCTAGACTGCTGCCTGCACGTGATGCTGTTCCAACACCGGGGCACAGGCAGCAGACCTCCTGTAAATCGGCAGCCGGAATGTGGAAGGAAGTGGTGAGGTGCTGTTTCGTGAACAAACACAAGAGGAAAGTGCGACGCGAGTCCTTCATATGGCACATTCTACACAAGACAAAGACAAAGAAAAAAAAAGAAGAAAAAAAAGTAAAGAATATTGGCTGTTCCTTCTTGAAAGTTCAGCTAGCCGCGCTTTCCCCTTTCACGATGAAAGCTCCTGAAGGATCGCTTTCAAGCTGGGAGTGGTGGGGTGCTCTTTCCGCCCAGGCCTTGATCTGCCTAACGGCTCCGAGACGATAGTCGAAGAAATCAGATGGCAAAGAGGGAAAGTGCAAATGCCAACATAGTCAACATCGTACGAACTACACATGTCCTTTCTCCCCCCTACTTTAGCTCCTTTTCTTCATCTTTGCCGGGATCCATTCTGACCGCTTGTCGTCTTAATCTCACGGCCTCGCCTCGCTTCCCCTTTTCCATCCTCACAATATCTGTAGGCTGCAGCGTCCCCTCTTCCCAGGATTTCACGGCTCAGAAGAGGGTTCGATCCGCTGCATCGACACCGTTGACATTCATGAGAAGTATATATTTGTCCTGGCCGCCAGCTCAATTCCTGTTGTGTCTTGGTGCACACTGTCATCGGTGAGTTCAAACATCTTTACAACATCTTGACCAAATTATTTGCTTCTTTCTACCACGCGGCATTGCGCCAGAGTCTTGTCTCTCATCATACTTTTGTGTTTCTTGTCCCCAATTGGCTCGCATTCTTTTTTTTTTTTGAAATATAAATAAAAAAATACATCTACATAAAAAACAACAGCTTCTTTGTCTTCGTCTACCTCTTCCCCGCTCCTCGGACCACCTCGTTCACTTCTTATTTGCATTTGCAGTCTGTTTTGCTGACATTGCCGTTCAAGAGCTGCTTTCTTATCAAATATCAAACAAACGTCCTTGCCTTTGCCTCCGCACTTCCTTGCACATTCTATCATCAGACACTTCCATTCCTCTCCTCTAAAATCAAGCATGATGCCGTTCCTTCAGCTGCCGCCCATCCCGGCGCCGCATGCCGAGCTACCGAGCTATCTTGAGCAGCACCCAGACAAGCCCATGACAGAGCTGTTTGAGCCTTACCGCAAATATGAGGCCAGAGTGCGCGAGCTGTATGCCCAAGAGCCCGGCTACCCGGCGCTCGTGGACCCGCATGTCAATGTGCTGCCGCTCTTCACGGAGGACACGCCCAAGCTGCAGATTCGGGCCCGTGATACGGATGCCGAGCCGGAAGACCTGAAGGCCAAGTACATCATGCCTCTGCCCAAAGAGAACCGCAGGGCCAACGGCTCCCCAGCTGTTGTGCCGTCTATTGAGGCCTTCCAGGGCAACTTTGAGGTCTTCTCCGAGTCGTCGCTAGCCGACATTGGTTGGGAGAATGTCGTGGCTGCCGGCTCGTCCGTCGTCAACTGCCTGCTGCCCGTGCCGGACGAGTTCAGCAAGTCTCGTCGGTCGCTGCGCGAGTACTACCACGAAAAATTCTGCCCGGCGTCCGACGTCGATCTGTTCCTCTACGGCCTGACGGAAGAGCAGGCTATCGAGAAGATCAAGGAGATCGAGGCCGCCATCCGCGACTCCATCTTGGCCGAGACGACCACGGTCCGCACCAAACACGCCATCACCATCTGCAGCGAGTACCCGACTCGCCACGTGCAGATTGTCCTGCGCATTTACAAGTCCGTGTCCGAAATCCTGACTGGTTTCGACATTGACAGCTCTTGTGCCGCCTACGATGGCAAACAGGTCTACTGCACGCCGCGTGCCCTGCAGTCGTACATGACCCAGATCAACCATATCGATCTGACACGCCGCAGCCCGTCGTACGAGAACCGTCTATCCAAGTACAGCCACCGCAACTTTGAGGTGTTCTGGGGCGACCTCGACCGCTCACGCGTCGACCCGACAATCTTTGAGCGCAGCTTCAACCGCACGCTCGGCCTGGCACGTCTTCTTGTGCTGGAGCGTCTACCCACAGCTGATTCGCGCCAGTCATATGCCACGAAGCGCCGCCAGGAGCGTGGCCGCCCGCCACTGTACAATTCCCACTATCTCCACGGCAAACTAGGCAATATCAAGGACCAGCACGAGGACGAGGTCGCCGAATGGGTCACTCCGGACGACGTCAACAACTATGATACATTTGTCCTTCCGTATGGCCGAAAGTACCATGCGAAGCGCATCGAGAAGCTGTGCTACACGCGCGATCTTCGTGAGTTTTGACCATATGCTACAGCCAGTACCAGTACCAACTGCTTGCGAACCGTTCGATTGACCTCATCCAGTTTTGAACGCAGAGTGGAATCAGAAGAAGGACCGTGAGGTCTACCTTCACAGGCACCCCGCCTTTGTGAGTGAGACTTTGCAGGGCGATAGACTGCGCCTGACACGCATGTGCTGACTACCGCAGTTCGGTCGTGCTGAGGATGTTATGGAAGACTGCTGCTGTTTCTGCCCCAAGCCGCAGACAGACAGGGAGAAGGAGGTTGCAGAGGAGGAAAGCAAGACGTACATCTCTGGCAAGATCTCTTTCGTGACCGATGACCCAGGCCGGCAGGTACGCTTCCAACCGCAGAAACGGACATATTGTCATCACTCACACTAACCTCTCATAGCAAATCGGGTCTTTCAATCCCTTGACAGACAATGACTGGACCGAGATGGCCTATGTTGGCAACACAGCCCGTCTCTGCCAGGCCATCATTGACGGCGACCTGGAGCATGTCGAGGACTGGCTGGCTCAGGATGGCGTGGACCCCAACAGACGCGACCACACCGGCCGCACACCCCTCCACCTGGCCGTCATGACGTCCAGCCCTGCCATTGTCAAGAAACTGGTTGATGACGGTGCTCGGCTCATTTCCCGCGTCGCTGACGGCAGAACTGCTCTCCATCTGGCGGCTCAGCGTGGTAGTGTCGAGATCGTCAAGATCCTCATGGACAAGAGCACTGAGAACGAGGCCGAAGAAGAAGAAAAGCAGGACCAGCGCCGCAAGGCCAAACTGGCTGCTGACGCCGAGAAGAAGATGAGGAAGGGCGAAGAGTCTGAGGGCGAGCACACCGATTCGGAGGAGGATGAAGACATGGACGATGACAACTCTGATGGCGAGCTCATCGACGACGAGATGTCTGACGACGGCGTACACTCCGTAACCACCGCCTCCTTTGTCAAGGTCAAGAGCAAGGACAAGCAGGACCTTGGTGGCGACGCTGCGCTGAACGACGCCGACGATGAACCCGACTTTTACGACGTCAACGTCATTGCATGGGACCGCCCCTGCTCCGCCCTCCACTTTGCCATCATCAACGGCCATGAGGAGGTCGTGAAGCTGCTCTGCCAGGAGTACGGCGCCGATGTTCTGCTACCCGTCAAGCTGCTCAACTCCTACAACCAGCAGCCCTCCTCGGCCATCCTTACTCTGGCCCTTGGCTTGGCTCTCCCTATCGACAAGGCCAAGTCCATGACCGCCACGCTACTCAGTCTAGGCGCGACTTGCGCACAGGCCGACCTCAACGGCATCACGGCTTTCCACAGATATGTTGAACATACCGATGTGGATCTTGTGCAGCTGCTGATGGATCTCGACAAGACAGGCGCCCCCGTTGCCATGAATAGCCTCTCCTTCCAGACTGCCTGGTATTCGGCCAGCCCTCTGCTGTGCGCCATTGCGTTGGGCAATGTCCGTATGGCTCTCAAGCTGCTTGATAATGGTGTCCCGCCTCAGGTCGACTTTGATACCTGGCTCAAGTATGCGAAGACATCGACTGCCTTTGGCAACTATCTCAGCTCTTTTGAAGAGAACAACAAAACCTTTAACAGGTCCTTCGAGCAGCCTTTGATTGTCGCTCTACGGTCGTCCAATCCGAAGATTGCCCTCGAGCTTCTCGAACGCGGCGCGGACCCGGACACCAAGACCAAGGACGGACACACCAAAGGCCTCCACCCGTTGATGATGTCCCGGTTTGCAAACATCGATAATGCACTGGACCTTGTCCGCGGTTCCCTGGAAGCTCTTCGCGGCTACAAGAACGAACCTCCCGAGCAGAGCACGCTCCTCGAGGTGTCTGGAAACCCTGAAAAGTTTTTGGCCACCTTGTCCAAGGATAGTTGGATGTACGTGGCAGCACTGTGCGACCTGAGGAAGACCATGAAGGATGTGGCCAACAGTATCAAGAAGCATGACGATGGTCTCGCAAAGGTCCCCCAGCTCGGTGGTGAGGAGAAGAAGAAGGCTGCCATCAAGGATATGATTGCGACCTTGGAGAAGATCGAGGCCAAGATACTGGAAACAACTCGCCAACCGCAGGCCTACGAGAACAAGGTCCCACCGGTCGAGTCCACCAAGGACTACAACTACGAGTTTACGCCAGAGTTTTTCGGCGTCGATGATGTCACCTATAGCCGCCGTTGTGGCTATGTCCAGCTGTATGGTCCCCTCATCCCCGATGCTTGTTTTTCACTTTTCGATTCCGACATTACTGACTCTAAATAGATTCGAGGCTGCCTGGAACGGCGACTTGGCTACCATTAAGCAGCTCACGCTTGGTAGCTGGGGTGAGAACAAGACCCAGAAGCCTCTGACTATCACCGTCAACGACGCACAGAGAAACAACGCCTTCTCTCTGGCTTTCCTGCGCGGCCACTACAAGGTCGCTACAGCCATTCTGGAAATTGCCCAGGCGCAGTACTCCTCGGATGTGAAGCAGATGGTCAGCTACGAGATGAAAGAAGAGATGGGCGACGAGGACACCGACATGAACAGCGACAGCGAGTACGAAGAGGACGAGACCGGCCCGTACCGCATCATTGTCGACAACGACCAGTTCACCATTGACAACATTGGCGAGGTGAATATGCAGGTTAAGGGCACAGTTGTAAGTTGCGCCGCCTTCCATTTTCTGTTACGCAAGGCCTTTGTTTAGCCTTTCCCTTTGTCTCTAACCCACACGAACCTAGACACCACTTGACCTGCTGGCTAAGTCTGTCGCAACATATACCGTTCGAGACGGTAAGGTTACCGACTACAAGATTTCCAGTGGATCGCTGTTTGAGTTTGTCTTCCAGCAGAACGACCGGCGGGGCTTCGAGTTCCTCCTCGATACTGCCACCCACTTTGCTACCCAGAAGAAGGAGGGCAACTCCCACAGCAGCTACTACAACTTTCCCATCAGCGACTTCCGTGCGGCCGTGGCCAGTGGTCGCGTCGAGATGCTAGCCGAGGTGATCAAACGCACCGGCGCCGGCCTTCCCCTCGAGGAGATGGTGAAGGACTCAGGCATCAAGATTGAGGAGCCGCCCGAGTACTACCAGGGCCTGACGGTCTATGGTAAGAAGCGGAGCGACTGGGCCGAGGCCGGGCGCAAGACGGTGACGCGCTCGACTGGCATGACAGATTCGCCCCTCCTGTTCGCCGCAGAGGCGGGCTGTCTGGAATCCGTCGAGTGGTTCCTCAGCGATGCTCCTTTGCGGTGCTACCTCGAGTTCACCGCATCCAAGGCTGCGCGGGACGACAAGCGCCTGACACACCTGAGCCAAGCGCCTGGTGGCTTCGAGGGTGCCATTTCGCGCTGGCTGACGAAGAACGGTGCGTTCTCTCATTCACTTAATACTCCTCTCCTTTTAATGATTACCGTGATACTGACCTGGAGTCAAGGTGACCTTGCACTCAACAATGCCATGAAATGTCCCGACGCTCAGAAAGCTCTCCCCGTCATCAAGTATCTCCTCAAAGTCGCTCCCGACAGCATCTCGGCTGGAGGCGAGGACCGCATGACGCCCCTTTTATCGGCTGTGAGGTTCGGCCGTCTTGAAGCCGTTAAGATCCTTGTTGATAGTGGCGCCGACCAGTCCAAACGCCATGAGACGACATACGCGAACTTGCTACACGTGGCCCTCTTTGAGAGCCCCAAGGCGCCGGAGCTCAAGAGGCTGTTGGACATTCTGGACAAGGACGCCGTTGACGGCATGTTCTGCGAGCGCACCCACCACGCCTCTTGGAGCGAGAGCCGCACGCCCCTACATGCGTGGCTGGAGCGGACGCTATCGAGCGGGTACAATGTTCAATACGGCCCCGCCAACGGCTACGGAAGCGATGAAGAGGTGATTGCCGTGATGCGTCTTCTCCTCTCGCGCTCGGGTGGCCGCGAATTGAATATCATTGACAGTGCAGGCGATACGGTGTTGCACATGCTCGCCCGGAAGCAAAAGAACCCCAACTTTATGTTGGCGCTGCTCGAAGCCATCCCGCGCCAGCTTGCCATCAGCCTCTTATACCGCGAGAACGCGGTTGGTGCAACGCCGCTCGAGGTCACCCAAGACATGTTCTTGGCATCGTTTGTCAAAGAGCGGCCCGAGAATATCAGAATGTTCGATCTCACGGTGAACAAGTGGCCCTCGAAGAAGGCCGAGGAGTTTACAACAATGGTGTACGAGGGCCGCGAGCAGGCGCCCTTACCGACGCGCATCACGACGAACAAGCCCGAGGCGTTGAAGCGGGCTGAAGAGACCTTGGCTGCGGTGAACAGGTTCCTTCGAGGCGAGAAGGGCAAGCGCCGACTGGTCAGCCTTCACGAAGCCAACGACGTGGCCAGGCGGGTCGGCCACGGGTACCAGAACCAGCGGTATCCGGTGAAACTCGTGCAGCCGGCATCGGACACAGAGGAGGGCAAGAGCGGCCTGAGCGGACAGAATGGCGGTCGCACTGAGAAAGTCGACCCGATGCATCTGGCCTTCCACCCTTACAGTACACTTACCTTGCATACCACGTGGCGGACTCCGAACAAGGACAAGGAGGAGGGCCGTAGTGACGCCGAAGTTGATGCGCTGATCGCCAAACTTTTGTAATTTGTTGTTTTGATATTTAACAGTCACATTTGGTTCTTGGCAGATTCTGATTTATACGTAGTTCAAGTTTAAATATTCATTATATGCGTATTTGGCTATTTGGTCGTGGGTCAGTCTGGTTTAGTGCTTTTTCACAGAATGGTAAAAAAATAAAGGTACCAGGTACCAGAAAAGAAAAAAAAAAGCACAAACATGACAAGAAGCAGTCAAAATATATGTACCAAGAAAAGGTGTAATTGGAAATAGGGGTCAAGAAGAGAAGAAAAGACAAAAAGAGACATCCAAAAACGGCATACAAAATGAGTGGCTCGCTCATGCGTTTGGCTGGCTTGTAATATGAAGGATATGAAAGTGAAGAAAGTAATAGGGTAGAAACGCCAGGGAATATGCCGAGATGGTAAGTAAATAACGTGAAAAGGAACAAAAAAGAATAGGGTATAAATGTGTCGGGCGACAGATTCATATAGAAGTGTAATCCCGTAGAAAAGTAGTAAGAAGGATGGGTGGAAAAGAAAAAGAAAAGAGGAAATGCAGGCTATGTTTGAAAATATGCAAAAAAATACAGCACAACAAGAAAGGCGGCTGTAATTGAGACAAATCTGTAGCGGCGAGGCTCCTCTAAACAACCTCGGACGCAATCTCTTCGCGCACTTTTCGGCACCACTGGTAAATTGCATCTTCAAAAACAGGCCAGACGTCTGGCCGGCTGCTGCAGGCGACCGCCAGAGCGTCGATCTTGAAGAACACCTCCCACCGCAGCTCGGCCGCCTTGACCCAGTAGCGAAGGTTGTCGGCGGCGCGGTAAGGCTTTTGTGTGTCGGCATGGAAGGTGGGGATGGCACCGAAACGCCGCCGTGACTTGCGCACAGCGCAGTTGTGCAGCTGGATCAAACACACCCCGTTCTGCATATGCTGCAGAAAAGGCGTTGGTGCCGCGGGCATCGTCGGCGTAGTTGGCGTCGTCGGAGTCGTCGGCGTGGCGTCGTCTGCAGAGGTGGCAAGCGCAGGCGCAGCACTGCTTCGGTCCATCGGCGTCCACTCGGGCAGAACGGTGTCAATCTTGTCTTCGGGTGCGGATCCACTGGCGAGGATCGACTGCAAAAAGGCGCGCTCCCGTGCGTAAGCACGGGCCGGGTCGGTGGCGGCATCTGCAGGCCAGTCGGCATCTTTCAGCCAGGTCCAGCTGGCCTGCTCCGCCTGCTCTGCTGCCACCATGGCGTCCTCACGGTCTAGCATGGCATACAGACTGCTGATCCAAGAGTCCATGGCGCGGATCTCTTCGGTGCGAACGCCGCCCGAAAAGTTGCGTGTGGCCATGCGCTTCAGGACGTCCATGACGGCCAGCAGCTCCGAACGCACCTCGCGCTCCGACTTGATAGCATCGAGACGGTCAGGGTTCTCGTGGCTCGTATAGTACACTTTTGCAGCGCGGATGGCCAAAGTAATGACATCGAGGATGTGCATGCCCTGAATCTCGTACCAGCTTGTTGCGGCGGCCTTGGCTTGGGCGGTCTCGGCGTTTGGCTGTCTGGCTGGTGACGACGGCGCAGAAGAGACTGGCGTGGCAGGCGCGTTTGCATTGGTCTTGGCCTCCCGTGCTTCGGCAAGCGCCTTGGACGCACTGTCGAGCGAGTTTTTGAGGTCAGTCCGCAGCTCCATGAGGGTGGGCGGCTTCGGCAGTGGCTTCTCGCGGTACATGTAGGTGCTGACAGTCGGCGGCAGCATCACAGCCGGGTCGGCCCCTTCAAAGTCCTCGGGGTACCAGTCGTCGCTGAAGGTTTCTTCAACGGGCGACTCCACTATCATGCCGTGGTTCGCGCCGCCGTGTGCACCAAGATCGGGGCTGCTTCCCATGGATGCGTACGACGAGTCGACGTCCGACTGGGCGGCGAGCCCACCAGTGGAGCCATCCGACGGCTGGATGAGCATGGACTGGGCCCGAGGGGTCAGGTAGCTGGTTGTGCCTTCCAACTGTGACAGGTCAAGCGTCCGGGCCTTGCCCCCGCGACGCTTCCTCTCGAGCTGGCCCTTGAGGTCGAGCAGCCCTGTTCGGGCAAAGTAGTGCTGCAAGTGGGCAATGCTGCCGAGGCTCAGCACGCTCTCGCGCGAGCGGGCACTGGCAGCAAAGTCGGTGCCTTGTGGCCGCATGTACCCGCGGCGTTTGGTGGCCCGCTGTTCTCCCGGGTTGCCACTTGCGGTGGTATTTGAGCTGGATGTGATTGTGCTCGCCACGGAGAGGCGATTGGGGTTGGACGCGGGGGAGGCGGACAACGACATGGCCGAATAGCTTCCCGACGAGTGGCGGCTAAAGGCAGAGGACGAGGCATCGCTGCCGAGAGAATCACGGGTCCCGAAACCGCTGGACAGAAGCGAAGAAGCGTCCGTGGTGGCGGATCCGTGGGACATGGACGAGGCAGTCGATAGAGAGCGCAGTGCCTCTGCCGCCCCGTCCTGCTTGATAGCGAGCGTTGGGACGGTATCAGGCGACGGCGACGAGGGCCGGCAGATGGTCGGTGGCGCCGGGGTGGCCATGGCGAACGACGGCACGTCGTGCAACGTGGAGCGTAAAGAACCAAAGACGTGAGGTTCTGCTGGAACAGAAGGGGGCAGTTTATGGCGCCCTGGAATTGTGTATCGGTATGGCTATATGCAGAAGGGAGAGGAGGCACTCAGACCGTGTACGTCGTAGTGTACGTCGTCGACAAGGTACAAAGCAAAGCTCAAAGTGAAGCTCGAAAGAGGGAAAGGCGGCTTTCGGCAGAAAACGCGAAAGACGAGAGACGCGAGAAGAATCAGTATCTAGCGGCGTGCCCCGTATGGATAGGCGGCGAGCGAGCTTTAGGAAAAGGGGAACCAGGACCCGAATGCAACGGTGGCGAGGGGCAGGATGGGTTCGTGTAAAGTAGAGAGGCGTGGTGCGTGGGCGCGCAGGCGTGCAGGCGTGCTCCGTAATTAAAATGAGCTCCGTATGTGGTTCTGGGGTTGGCTTTTCGTGCTTTCCCTCTTGTTGTTTGCAGGGTATTACGATGTATGAGTCCGCGACCCTGTTCTTTGTCTTCTTTCTATTTCGGTTCCAACCGTACAACGTAAGATATATCTCGTTCAGTATCTGTTGTTTGACGATCCGGATGATTGTCGACGTACTTCGTAGTTCACTCTGCTGTCTTTTGTTGACTCTGGAAAAGATCCGTGACGAATGACTGGCCAGGCCACTGTGCTTGCACGGAGTACTCGTAGGATGTTGGTGAGATAGTGCTAGCTAAAATTGCACCAGCAAGGTATGGGGCCGTGTTCGAAAGCCAAGGACAGAACGTTGTCAGAGCTACAGAGCGAGATGTAGAAAGTTGACGATGCAAAAGGAGGGAAGTGAAGCGCAACTGGTGCCGATATGATAGGAAAGAGAGGATGGCTGTCTGGGGAAGGAAGGGAATTAAGAACAAGACAGTGGGACAACAACAACAAAAACACAACGATTGGCGAGGAAGGTGCGACGACAGAGCCATGCACTGGCGATGCCTTCCTAACTGGGCGCCCACCTTCTTTACTTGTGACGCCATGTCAGGGGTTTGTTTGAGCAGTGCTGTTCCGGTTGGCGAAGGCTGACTGCGCTGGAAGGCGCTGGCCGACGGCTATTAGTGGGTGTTGACAGCTTGGTTAGAATACTTGTTGAGGAATCTGGTGGGAATTGCTGGAGAAACGGGGGATTGCAGGGCAACAGGCAGTTGGTAATTAACTGGTATGTTGTATTTCATACGCTAAGTAAGCAGGAAAGATACAAAGCACTGTCGCACCTAACATCGTACGTACAAACGCCTTCGGTGCGCCTTCCAGCGGCCGTTCCTGTCTAAACAGCGCGCTAGTCGCCCGCTAATGAGTAGCCGCGGCACAGAGCGCCCAGTTCCGTGGAGAACAGGTGGGCCTAAAACGACACGCTAAACCAAATGAAGAGAAGCAAATTCAGTGCATACCGTGCGACTATCACAGGCTCTGGCAGTTGGCTGCTGCTGGCGGTCATAAAGTCACAAGTGCAAGGCGACCTCTTCCTGCCAACAAATTACATTGCACTCAATGTTCCTGGCTGTCTGGTGTCTGCTGTTTTTGGATAGGCAGGACACAAGAAGTGGCACAAGCTGTCGTTCCCGCGGAGACGTAGTGGCGGAAATGGCATTTCCCAGTTGAAGTAAAAGTTCTCAACGATGGACGACACTGTGAAGGAGAGTCCTCAAACTAACCCTCGACAGCAGGTGTCACAATGAAAGCTGGCATGCGAATACAAGCTGTGGACAAAGCTTGGGCACATGGTAGCATCCCAGGCTTGCGGAAGGACTTCCGAAACGGAGAGCTCAGCTGAGGCCAGCCGGCAATATGCACTACGAGAATAGACACTGTTCGTTGATATGTATAGGGGCCACGGTACACAACGTATAACATACGCATACGACATATATCGCGGCCAGTTCGATAAGTAGGATATTAATACCCTCTGGGAACAAATTGGATCACATTGGCTGCCGGCAGCGTGAAAGGGTGTGTGTCTTGCCAGAATCCGTACCTGCATGTGCGTGCATGCGTGCAGGCGTGCATGGCGTTGAAAGCCGGCACTGGCCACGAGGACTGTCCTGTTTCGATTCTGTGTGAAGCTGGCCGGCAACTTTATGCACTGCGACACGGCACACATGTTCCAGAACGGGGGAAGGAAAGGGAGAGCGGGAGTTGACAGAAAATGTGTGGGACAGGACAGTCATCAAAAGAAAGGGAAAGAATGTCATCTGTCTGCCAATTAAGGGTGTATTTCGTACTTCGTACCAGCATTGCTGTGTCTCTTCCTTCCCATGCCACTCGGCTGCCACGGCGTGAGAACCTGCCCCTAGACCCAAAGAGATCCCTTTCATCAAAACAGTCGCCACTTTTTGGACTTGGCTGTCCTCTGTCTCACGCAGCGGACTTGATCGGCACGGTTCCCTGCGGAGCCTGGACGGGTTGTATGCCAGGCCTAGAAG